CTCCTCAATCTACATTTTCACTGACTACCTGTCTCGCATGCATACCAGACCAGCCTCTGGCTTCTTTACTTTTCATTCCATCTAGGAAGAGCACACACCAACTGCTGAAACTTCCTTAGCCTGATGAAGGGTTTTTGAACCCAAAAGCTTACTTAATAATTGTTTTCCAACAATTTAAGTTGGTCTAATAAAAGATATCAGATTCACGCAAAGAACCCTATCTGCCTATGTCTTTAGACCAACATGTCTACAACCTACAGCCCTGTACCTACCAAGCAGTTAATTTGTATTCGAATAAGTTCTTACATACTAAAAATTCATCACAAGAGTTTTTCATCACTAAGAGAATGAAAAGAACTTTCTCTTCAGGACTGAATAACTAAAACTTGTTATCTTAGTACAATTAGGGATATAAAGATGTTATGCCTCTTAAATCAGCCTAGTTGTTCTACTGCAAGGAAACCTTAATCTGGACATTGTTTTTTAAAGGGCTCCTTAGTAATTTTTCAGCTATTTAACCTCATGTTTTCTAAGTCTCTCTCTCTCTTTGTTTAGTAGCCAAAAGCAGCTTTGTGGCAAAAGAAGAACAAATCAGTTTCAAAGACTGTGCTGAAGCATTCAAATCAGGACTTACAACAAGTGGAATCTACACCTTAACGGTTCCTAATACTTCAGAAGAGAAAAAGGTACTAAAATCTTCAAGACCTTCAAACTGCTACATAGTTGCAATGTAGAGTACAGCCTTGAGGAGATTATTTTTATCTAGCATGGCCCCCCTCAGATGGCAGTGGGGTGTGCACAAGGCCTAGCCACTTTAGCAGTCTTTCTTCCTTGATGGCAGGGAGCTGTAGTCAGACAGTAATTGCAGAAATGCAGCTGTCACTGTAGCTCACCAACAGAGGACTTGTCTACATGAAGCATGTACTGGTTTAAATAAAGGTACACCCATGGGTGGGCCTTTTGTGCTGTAAATATTTATGTAAAACCAGTTTCAAGGTCAATTTAAGTTAAAAATCAATGCAGTCTTGTGTAAGGAAGGCCTGAGGGAGGGACACTCAGCAGTTCTCAGGACAGATGGTAGGATTTGAAGCTAAGCAGAATGCTCCAAGAGGATTCACGGGAGCACATGTCAAGTCAAGGACATGGCTGGATGGTGAAAACACAGAAAAACAAAATCAAAGCTTTACAAAGTGAAATCTGGGGTTCCTGAGAGAGGTGCCTCAGTTATTTAAAGAAATAATGTTACAAAAGGGCCAGGCAAATCAAGGACATAAAAGAATGCTAGAAAAATTGGGAAGGCAGAAAAAAGCCCAGGTACGCTCCTGGACTGAATTAAAAAAAAAAGAAAAAGAAGAGAAAGTGAACATCTTCAGATAAGTAAAATATATGCTTATCCTTGCATTTCCAAGGGCAGTGGTGGGAGGCTGTTGTACTGTAGGTTCATGCCCTTTTTTGGTAAGCAGTTAGACAATGGTAATTGGCTGTGTTATTTTGATTGCACTAATTACTTCAACACTCCTTCCAGTATCCTTCAAATTTCCCTTCAGCCTCTGTCTGGGACTTGGCAGCTTTACATATTTCATAGTTTCAGCTGATATCTATATACCAGTTTTAACCTGGTCTTGACAGAAAAATAACAGGGTCATTTGGTGGATGAGGTGAAAATCTGACAGCCTGTGATTGACAACACTAATAAGTTTAAGACTTGATGCATGAGCACAATAATTTTCTAGGATTTAATCTTTCTGCTATAAATTTACAAAGGTAGATAATATTTAATGACTCCCTATGGATTTATTATGTTGTATATGGAATATTCAGAAAATCTATCACAAGGTAGACACACATTTGGACATACTCAGATAAATCTATGATATATTATTTGGTTAGGAAATATGAAACTTTATCCAAGTGACAAGCTAAAGAAATTATTTAAAAAAATTTTTTAGTTTAAGCTTAGAACTAGAATCTATCCTTACCCACACACAACTCCCTCTAATGGTAGTGGAACAGAACTATAAACTATGGTCCAAAAAATTAGAACTATTCTGGATACATGATGGTAGAAATTATGTAACAATGAAAAGTACAATGTATTAATTTTTTTTGGAGGGGGGGCTACTTTGCCTTTGGATTAAATTCCATTGTTTTCAGTTTCTTACAATGAAAAATTAGGTTACATACTCAGTGAGAGGTGCTGTATTAAGCACTGTGTGAGTAAATGATTGCAAGTGAAACTTCCATTCACACCTTTAATCATGATAGAAGATAGAAGCAACTGTACATTTAAACAGTGGACTGCAGCAGTCACAACCACACATTACAGTAAGGCAGGGGCAGGCAATTATTTTGGGCAGAGGGCCGCAAACTGAGTTTCGGAAAGCCATCGAGGGCCACATGACAGGCAGCCAAGGGCAGATTACTATTAATTTTCTACATTTTTTAGGGGCCCCACAAACCTGATAGAAAGGCCTGGCAGGCCACATCCAGCCTTCAGGCTGCATTTTGCCCACCCCTGCAGTAAGGGCTATGTTTTGAACGCTCTATAAATAGCTCTTGATTTTCCCTTTTTTATTTAGATTCTGACTCCATCTTCAAATGTAGTACCAGTAAATAGGAATGCATAATCATGTACTTTTGGGGAATAAAAAACAAGGCATGTTAATAGCTGACTGAAATTTTAATGAAAGACTTTTACAATTCAATACATTTAAAAGCAGCTGGTGCACTGTTTCAGGTCTGGCAGTATTACTGCCCCCATGCATCAGCCAAAAGCAGTCAAAATAGCACATCCCTGCAATAAAAACAAACCCACACATTTGTCAGAGTATAAAAAGCCACTGGAACATAAAATGCTTGCACTGCTCATTTTTAAATTTAGTTTTATAATAAGCATTGTAAAGCATAGCAAGGTTTAAGACACTTTGAACAGAAACACTTCATTTTGAGAATGGTAGTAATCAACTGGGCCAAAAAGCAAAAATAAGTTCAATCTCTATTCTACAAACAGAACAAAAAGTCCATTTTACGTAAGTACAGCAAAACACAAATTTTTATTTATTATGAGAGAAAATTAATGTTTACTCTTTCCCTATTCGATTTGATGCATATTTTGTATCAATAATGCATAGATACAGAACAGAAGTTGTTTGGGAAGTAGAGATTTGTAGATAAATATGTTATACCATTTTCTACTGTTTACAATGTGTACTGACATTCAGACCAGTAAACAGAATGACTTTTTACTTGCCAGAGCACTGTGCTGCTGTTTGCGTTTTCATCTTTTCCTCTTATAACACCTTCTGACCCCCCCAAGAGGCTTATAAACAACTTCTGTGTAATTTGCATTACTGACCTTGCATTATCACTGTTTCTCATCATAATGTAGAACTGAGTAAGTGGTAAGCAACAAAGCTGAGTGGGAAGTGATTCTTCCATTCTATGAACAAAATCTCAGGATTTCAAAAAATGTCCTGTTTGAATCAGAGTGAAATTGAGACCATTCCTTTTTTCAAAAACCCCCCACACTCAGCATATCTAATAGCCCAGTGATTAGTTCATTCATTTCAGATATGGGATACCTGGGTCTAACTCACTAATCTGAATCAGGGAAAATAGCTGAACGTGCATCCCTATATTCCAGGTAACTGTCCTAACCACTAAGATATTGGCTATGTGTGTGCGCCAAGCAATCTATGAACAGAAATTTCATCCAGCACTTGAGAAACCTTCACAGCAAACTTTGTCCAAATGGATATAGTCCTGCAAGAGATTTCTTAATTACCCTGATTTGCATTTGTTAACAAAAACTTGTCTTTTTGTTGAGCTGGTAGAGAAGCTTTATGACGTTAAAAATAGAAAGAAAGAAAACTAACTTAATATGTTTGATTTGGTTTATCATACATTGTATGACCTACACCTCAAATGTTAGGCTACTTCATCTCGCACTCAATGTTTGTTGCCTACACTAAGTATTCCAATGGCCCTAAAAAACATGACAACAACTTAATTATATTTCCCTCCAGTCTCATGCTATTTTGGCATTTGTATCCTTAGAATTAGTTTAATAGAAGCTAGGGTTGGAAGGGAATTGAACCGATCATCAAGTCTGACCCTCTGCCCTTGGGCAGGAACAAGTGCTGGGGTCATAACACCCCAGCCAGATACTTATCCAACCTCCTCTTGAAGACCCCTAAGGTAGGGGAGAGTACCACATTCCTTGGGAGCCCATTCCAGAGCCTGGCAGCCCTAACCATAAAGTAATGCCTCCTGATATCAAGCCTGAACCTACTCTCAATCAATTTGTGGCCGTTATTCCTTGTAATCCCAGGTGGAGCTTGGGGGAACAGAGTCTCACCTATTTTACACTGGTCCCCCCTGGTGAGTTTATAGATGGCCACCATTCAAATTCATGTCTTCATGTTTTTATTCATGACCATGAAGACCCAAATTTATTTTAATGAAAGCTGAGATTCTCATCTAATCACAATACCTGAGGAATTGGAATGATAAAAATATATTAAAAAACGTAGAATGAGATGCTCAAGCCATTTGTGAGATTTGGTAATGCTATTACTTCAAAAGTCATGTAAATAACTTATGAAGACTTTACCAAGCCCCTGACATTGTTTCCGATTGTTGCTAGTGTGATCAGCATCTCTCCTTTTCCTTACAGTAGACCTTAATTCAGAAACTGACATGCTGCATTAGTGCTTTATACACATGCAGGAACCACTTAACTGCCATTTAATTTAACATCTCATCATATTCTAGGTAGGCGAGGCATAGAATTTGGCTCTAATCTCATAACATTCAATAAAAACAATGTTTTGAAACTACTTGGGCACAAATACAGCTTTACACAATGAACAGTCAATAGAACTACTACAGTCTTAATCTTTGGGGCAGGGTCCTATTTTTCATTATGCTTGTGTGTACAACACTTTATTCATATGCACTGTTCTGCAACCAAAGCCTGTAAATCCTACCATAATATTAATAAATAATTCACATTACACCCCAGCTGCTAGGTCTGAACCATGAAACACTTCGTTTTCAAAATCTGCTGAATATCCCACTCTGCCAGTTTTCTATAATATAAAAAACTAAAATGTTTATTCTGATGTCTAATCCTGATACATATTTTTTCTGTTTCCATTCCACACTATATTTGATCCTTCTGAATATAAGCTCCACTCTGTGTCCAAATTCCACAGGAGTTTTACTGAAGGAGTGAGTGCTAAAGAAAGCCCTAAAGAAATGCAGGTCATTTCTATATTAAGGGCTTTTTTTGAAAGATTTGTTCTTATTAAATAGTAAAACAATTCTATCACTTTTTCAGCTTTTACACTAATTACTAAATATACACATTTAAGACTTGTCTCCTCGCAAAAAGATTTATACACAGTAAGTGTACTGTGCTTATTTTAAACAAAATAATTGTCCCTATATCTCCAAACTTTCATATCTCCATCTCTTTTCTTAAGTTTTTATGAATATGAAAAAACTCCACACACAACAATATCCACTCAACTGATCCTTTTCTCTAGTTGCTAGAAGAAAATAAATTATTTTGGCTAATTTTAGTTTCCTTAATCTTTCCTTCTCTTCACTTTCTCTATATCGCCTTGCAATCTACTTTTGTTATTCAACCGACATGACTGATCTTCAAGAGAATACGTGCATATATATATTTGAAATAACTAGATTTGTACTAAAATACTACATTTAGCAGACAGACTCTGATTTGGATCAGTCAAAAAGTCAACAACAAGAGCTTAAATTTTGCTCCTAAGGCACTGATCCCTAGTTAAAGGGACTAAGCACAAACATAAAGTGAATTATGTGTATATTTTTAAGATGGGCATCTTTGGATGCCAGTCAGAGAATAAAAAAGTTACACTGTACAACGCATGCTTGTCTGTGCAGTACTTTCAGAACTTATGACCTTTAAAACCCCTCAAACCCAATTGATATAAAATCTGTTAAAGTGTAGAAAATGCACCCTCCCTTTCCTTAATATTTATACAATATATTTATACAATCATTATGGGTTAAAAGCTATTCAAAAAATTATAAACTTTTGCCAGGACAACTTCCTGTGATCATTCCCAGTTGTATTTCAGTAGCCATGTGATTGTGCCAGGTGCTTTCCAAAGACAGGTACAAAGTCAGCTTATAGCCTAAAGAATGTAGGCTAAAAAGAGCATATTTTCTTACTAGTCATATGTTAGGAAGATACTGGCAAGATCAGAGGGCTACTTTATGTAAGATATCCATTGAACTTAAGTAAAAAATTATTATACAGGATAACAGCAGAATTCTTCCATTTCTTGCAGTTCCTTTGCTTTCATCTGCATGAAATGGTAACACTTTTGCCTCAAATCTCATTCTACTTGCACTTGTCTCCGATTCAAATCCCTTCCGTCACCTTTCCCATTTAGTTTCCATTACATAAGCTCAAATAATTTTAACTTAATCAAATATGCTATACATACCCATCAGAATAAACCAACCATAAAACTACACTTCATGTCAGCAGCTCTTAAAGCACCACTTTGGAAGTCTGGTATAATAGACCAGTGTTATTCTAATGTCCTGTCTTACAGCTGTTATTTGTGGGCTCCAGAAAGTCACTCAGACTGAAATTGTCTTGCAGTTGGATCATCTGTTTTAGTTCATAGGATTTTTGTTTTCCACAGCTTTTCTTGGCTTTGGAAGATCAAAGTGGCGGGTTTCAACCTCAGGGCATTATGGTTTGGTAGGACTGCGTAGAGTATGTACTTAGATTTTATTATTCCACTATATGGCAGCATAGAGAGTTTCATTATACAGTGATATGGCTTTGTGGAGGATAGATCATGCCTGACAAACCCGGTGTTCTTTTATGACCAGGTAACTAACCAGCTGAACAAGGGACATGAGGTAGACATCATTTACTTAGACTTCAGTAAGCCCTTTGATTCTGTCTCCCATCAAATTCTCTCAATTAAACTGGAGGGCACTGGCCTGGACCAGCCTAGGGGGGGTGGATAATTGGCTTAGAGGCCGGTCCCAGAGAGCTATAATCAATGGGATGGCCTCATCCTGGAGGACTGTCCCCAGTGGTGTCCCACAGGGATCGGTGCTTGGACCCATGCTTTTTAACATATTTATTAATAAATTGAATGATGGGGTGGAATGCTCTTTGATTAAGTTTGTGGACAATACTAAGCTGTGGGGATTTGTGGGTACACCAGAGGATAGGGTAAGAATCCAGGACCCCCTTGACAAACTAGTTCTGTGGGCTGATTGGAATCATATGAGGTTCAACAGGGAAGCGTGCCAGGTCTGTTATCTGGGTAGGAAGAACCTTCACCATAATGGGACCTGGGGGGTGGGGGGTGTCACAATCTACCAGAAGATGAATATGAGCCAACAGTGCAATGAAGTTGCCAGCAGGGCAAACAGAACTCTGGTGTGCATCAGCTGATATGTTGCTAACAGATCCAGGGAAGTGCTTCTCCTTCTCTACTCAGCATTGGTGAGGCCACAGCTAGAGTACTGTGCCCAGTTTTGGGCACCACACTAAGAAGGATGCGAATAAGCTCAAGAGGGTGCAGAGAAGGGCCACCTGCATGAGCAGGGGCCTGGAGGATAGGCCCTATGAGGAGAGACTCCAGGAACTAGGCTTGTTCAGTCTGAGTAAGAGGAGGCTGAGAGGTGACCTGATAGCTGCCTACAAGTATGTCAGGGGGGAGCACCAACATCTGGGGGAGCAACTCTTTAGGAAGGTACCCCTTTGGAGGATGAATGGGTACAAACTAATTGAGGGAAGATTTAAGTTGGACATAAGGAAGAAATTCTATTCCACAACGGTACCTAGAACCTGGAACACACTCCTGGCAGAGGTGGTGCAGTCGCCATCTTTGGAGGTGTTCAAAAGGAGGCTGGATAAGCACCTCATTGAGCTAGTTTTAGCTTATTAACCTTCTGCCTATAGCAGGGGACTGGACTTGAGGATCTTATAGGTCCCTTCTGGTCCACTGATTCTATGTGCATGATGTGTATTCTCTGGTTTCTCAACAGAGTGCACAAATCTTTTGCCTTTTACTAAAGATTTATTTGCATTTTATGATTATGATTAACAGGCATACTGTGACATGGAAACCAGTGGAGGGGGGTGGACAATTATTCAGCGACGTGAGGATGGAAGTGTAGACTTTCACCGGACATGGAAAGAGTATAAGATGGTAAGCACACCACTCCTCTGAATTCTTATATTTAGGCCATGACTTGACTGTAAAATTTACCATGCCTGAAAGTGGCACCTTCAAGCATGCTGTGCTGTTCCTATACATCAGCTGCCTCAGGTGGACTAATTGGCACTGCTCAACAACCATGCCAATTTGCCTATAGCCAAGTTACTTTACCTTTTGTAAACATTGGGTTGCTATGGCTTATGCTACTTCTAATTCAGGAGACAGGCTAATGGTACTGCTGTTGGGCTCCATAATTTTGCAGCCTAGATACTGCCTTAGATTATTTTTTTCTTATGATCTCTATAGAGGCTTATGTCATAGAAAAGTATAAATCAGTTACTTAAAAGGACATAAATCAGCAGGTTTGAAAGTGGTATTTTAATTTTGAGATGAAAACTTCTGCTTTCATTTGGTAAATGCCAGAATAATGTAAACTGTTTGCCTAAGTAGAGACTTGCAAGTGTGATGTGTTTTTAAAGACAAGCTTTGCTCCCCCACCCCCACCAGTCAACTATTTCATAGTACATCTACATATTTAATTTTTAAGATTTTTATAGTTGATTCTACTGGCAGTTTTTGTCCAATCTAATAAATGTAATACCGATCCATTTTGTTTCAAGTTCCTAAAACTTTATTTGTTCAAATCCACTTTTTGAAAAACTAAAGACCTCTGATCTTCACATGCATAGCAAAGCTTTGGAGTTGACTGACTGAAAAACTTTCTTTTTAAAAGCTGATGAACTGATGAATTCAAAGTCATGAAGGACAACAAATTAAAATTATTTAAATATACAACTTGGATTACAGGGATTTGGAGATCCTGCTGGAGAGTACTGGCTTGGAAATGAGTTTGTTTCTCAGCTGACTAATCAGAAACACTATGTTCTTAAAATACACCTGAAAGACTGGGAAGGAAATGAGGCATATTCATTATATGACCATTTTTATCTAGCAAGTGAAGAACAAAAGTACAGGTAAGCAAAACGAGAATTGAACTGAACAAACATCAGTTGATTATTAATTTCTATAAGTTGCTTAGCTTCACAAACTTTTAAAAAAATGATGCAGTAGTTGTTATGAGTGCATTTAAAATATGTCATGTAGTGCTCGGGGATGTACTTGGGAGCCATGTTGGTCTGAGACAAAAAGAAATGCAAAATTCTAGAACTCTTGGTTAAGAGATTATACCTTTTATTAGACCAACTAAGAAATCGCAAAAAAACCCAGTTTTTTTGCAAGCTTTTGGGCCCTTCTTCAGGCAAAGGACAAATCCAAATATTCATGTAGTGCTGACATTCTAAATGGATTTTTAGAATGAGAAAGAATGTGCATTTTACCAGTGAATGATGGTAAATAACACCTTCACTTCCTCCACTTTCCTTTATAGAAGGTTCTGGGTGCAAAATGTGGCATATAGGTTGGGAACAGAAGAAACCCATGTAGTGTGTGGATGTTTGGAGGTCTCTGAGGAATCCGGTGGGTAGTCTTAGGGGGGTGTATTCTACTGAAAGATAACAGAGGCAGGAAGATCATTAATTATACAAACTTTGACAAATGCAAATCCCGCACATACACATTCATGTTACAAACTTCAGGATGAAGAGCAGGGCTTGGTTCATTCTTCCATCCTTGATAATCTCCACAGTTCAAAGATGAGTTTCTCACGATGTGCCATGGAGCCTGGGTTTAATTTCTAGCATCACCATTCCTTTTGTTTTACTTATTTATTTTTTACTTAGCAATGCTCTGGTATATTCTGTTGCATTTTTTTCCTGTACTCAGAATTAGTCATAATTTAAAGAAGGAAAGTATTCAGGGACACCCTTAAATACTGTTGTCACATTGAATTAAATGAAGCTACTAGACAATATATTTTTGGATGTGCTTGTTCACTGAAATAAGGTAAAGAAACTATCCTAGCCCTCCAATAACCACATGAAGTTAATATCATTCCACAAGCATTATATTTCCATTTTTGGCTAATTACATAAAAAACAAACAAAACGCATAAGGGGAAAAAAGGAAAGTTACTAGGCTCACAGCAGGAACTAGTTGATAGAAAACAGGCGACTGGGAAACTATGACTCCTTAAATTAAGAAAAATTTGCTGGGGAGAACTAACAAGAGTGGTAATGCAAGAAGGAGCCTTTCCTTCCCAGGCCTATAGCGGATGGTATCCTTACAATTGGCTTTAATGTTACAAATCTCAGAAGACAATCGAAGAGATACAAATCAGAATGGAAATTAAACTACCATCTTGCGCTAAATAATGGTAAAATAAGCACCCTAGTCAAAGAAGCATACAAAAATAAGGCTAGAAGAGACCTTAGGAAGTCATTGAGTCCAAAACCCTGACCAAGACAGGATCAACCTCATATAAACCATTCTAGACAAGTGTTTATCTAGCTTGCTTTTTAATTACTTCCAAGGATGGAGATTCCACAAGCTCTCTGAGTAGTCTGTTCCAATGCTTAACCACACTTATAGTGAAAATTACCTTCCTAACAAGGAAAATTAAGCAAATTTGTCAAAAGTCTGTCTTTCCCTCTCTCCAGCAACAAGTGTATATCTGTAACACTACATTTCAGTATATGCATGTTCTGTACTTCCTTCAATTTGTGACACCCGATACAGAATATAGATAGAATACTTACTTTGATAAGGAATTAAATGATTAATATGATTAATGTTTAAAAATATTATCATTAGCAACCACTAAAATAAATGGGGCAGTTCATACTTCAGTGCTATTGTTTCAGGCTCTCTGAAATCTCAGACATGTCATTTAATTATCAGTTTGCTCAGAGACTTGATTTTAAATAAAATCGCAAAAACTGAGGAACAACTGAGTGGTCGAAAAAGACTCTTTCACTCTGTCCAGCTTGGGAGCTGGAGTGAGCCAACACTTTGGAAAGTACTGCTTTAGGAGAATTATGTAAAAGAGTTACAAGCTGTTGGAATGAACAGTCTGAAAAAGCTTACAGCTCTGCTTTCCAACATCTTGTAGTTAAGGTCATTGACAATAGGGAAAGAAAAATTTGACACCCTTTTTTAAGAACTAAATTCATATGTTACACACATTTCTGAATAAAACCCTTTATAAAATATAATCACCAATAACCAACTTTCATCCAGGGAGATTAGAGTCCATTAAAAACATTTTAAGCTCTTAAATACTACATATTTTTCATGAAAGAAAATAAAAGTATAAGACTTTCCCTGTCAAGAGATTACTATAGGTAAATGGAAAGAGATACTGTTACTTCACCTCAACTCTCATAAACAAAACAATCCAAAACTCTGAATATCTCTCCATCAAAAAATGTTAGAACTTAATGCGTTAGCAGTATAAGCAGTATACAGTTGTCTCAACTCCAAACCAAATATTTTTCCATCTGGAAACAGTTAGAATCTACAGCAGAGATTTTATTTTTTAAATTAAGGCATTAAAATACTTATAAAGGCAACCTTTGCAAAATGGGTCATTACCCATGTCCATTTATATTATTAAAAAATAATTACTGCAAAATAAGATGGTTGTCTGTAAAAGGATACTTCCTTTTGAAATGCTATCAAGTATTTGATGTGCCATAGAATACAGTGGTTCAAATTAGATACATAACACTCTGAAAGATGTATATTCTTAAAATTAAGTTTAAATATATCCAGCTATGTTCAAATATTCATGATATAAAATCATTTCCATTTGTATTAGCTGGCTTTTGAATGCTGCAAAGAAACAGTGTAAGTTATGCTAAGGGACAACATTTCAAATGGATTCCCCAGGACAAGAACATGATCAGAACCAAATCAGGTGGTGCCTTGTTTCCCAACTTGGAGATTTATAGGGGTGATTTTTAGCATGTAAAATTCTGTGGTTCTATTTCTTCAACTCTACAGTGGGGAGAATTATACTGATCTATCTGAAAAGGGAGCTTTAAGCTTAACACATTAACATCTGTTAGTGTTTTGAGATTTATGCACTTACAGATACAAGGTACAGGCATTCAGTTGCTCCTGGGAGAGTCAAAACTTGCCCTGGAGAAAAATAAACTGAGAAGAACCAGAGTTAAATCACTCCCAGGAGAGATTCTTTTCAAAGAGAGAATTTCTGTACATATTTTCTTCTGAGAGAAGCCACAGCACAGTCCTACAGCATCCCAGGGTACTTTGCTCTTCCCTGCTTCCCCAAAGGGAATAGTTTCTTGCATGGTGGACTCTGCTGCTACAACTAAGCAGGAAATAGCACATGCCCCCCTTCAGAATCTCTGTTTGTGCTGCAGGGAGATACAGGCAAGCTGGGTCAGCCACTCAGGGCTGTGCAGCATCAGAACAGCAAGCTCTCTGCTCTTCAGGGACTCAACATTGAAATGTCTGTTCAGATGTCTCCAGATAAGGTTCTCCATCAGAAAAGGAAACTGAAGAGAATTCTCCCAGATTATTTAAATTGTGTATACAGCCAGCATATCTGATTCGCTGTCATATATTATTCTTTGTGGCATTCTAAAGGCTGTTAGTACAAAAAGAAACAATTTTATATCATGAATATTAAAACATATCTGGATTTTTTTAAACTTAACTTTAAAAATGTTCATCTTTCATATTGTTATATATAGATTTAAACCACTACACAATGCATCTTAAATTTAGTAGCCTGAAGTTAGCAAAAACAGATCATCTTGGAAGGCATCCAATTTTAACTTGAAGGACTCAAGAGACAAAGAACCTGTTACCTTCTGTAGTAGTTCAGTATGAAGGATTTTCTCTCTGTGGAGATACTTATCATCTATAAATTACCTCTCAATCATGTTTTTGCTGCCATTTATGACCTGAATTATGCCACTGGATACAAATCTCCACCCCTCTGGAGCAACTAAGTCTCCTGAACCTGGGGATCAGTGACAAAGTTAAGTGAAGTTCCAATATCCCCAACAGCAGTGGGGAGGGGAAAATTCTACAGAGACAGTAAGCACAGGCATGAAAGAGCAGCCTGGGGGCCTGAGAAGGGTACAACAGGGGGGACAGACAGCACAGAAGAGTAATTTTGGATTGGACTGGACTTTCACAGGACAGGTTCATGCTATTGGCTGTAGGTTACCAAGCTGTGGATTATACTACTTAAATTTCTCATTGTAAAATATTTTGTCCATCCACGGAGTATTTTTCATAAGTCTTTTCTGAACCATCTCCAATTTTTCAGTACCCTTTTTTAATGCAGATTTCCAGTATTCTAGTATTGTCTAGTTCTGGCCTCACCAAAGCTATGCAGAGGTAGAACATATCTTTTTACTCCTACTCACAACTTCCCCCTGTATCAATTGAAGGATTGTGTTAGCTCCTCTTGCTACATCATCAAAACTAGGAACATATGCTGAGATGCTTGTCCTTTATGACCAGGGATCCTGGTTTTTCCTGATAAAAAAAAAATCACAAATTCTCTGCTAAAAACCCTAAAATCCGTGATTAAAATTTAAAGATCCCCCCCACAGCCCTGCTGGTGCCCCTCACTCCTAACCCACAGCCCTCAGAGCCTTGCAGGTGCCCCTTGCCTGCCACCCACAGCCCCTGCTCCCCCACCCCTGCTGGAGGGGGCCCCCAGCTACCAGGAATATGGACCAGGGTCTGCAGTCCCCTGCCCCCACTCCCCCCACTGCACACTTGGGTGGGGTGGCTCCCCACATCTGAACGCACTCCTGGAGGGCAGGGGGGACCCACGCCCCCCAGATCTGTACCAGGGGAGGTGTAGGCTGAGGCTGCTGCCCAGCTGGGTAGGGCTTGGGAGACAGGGTCGCAATGCGCAGCTGCAGGGCCCCACCTGGGAACAGGATAGGACCTCAGGTGGCTTGTCTAGGGGAGGGAGAGGGGGAGGGAAGCCCCCCTGCCCTGGTGATGCGCCTCCAGCACTTGCTGCTGCTTTGGAGAGTGCAGCCCTGTGTGCAGGAGGCACATTGCTGGGGCAGCAGTGGGGTGAGAA